CTTTCCCTTGTACTGATTACAGCTTGGGTGTCACGAGTTTGTACTGGCATTCAGGAGCAGGCAATTAGAATCGATTCGTATCTCTGACAACAGACTTGCTACAGAGGTGAAGGAGCTCTGTAGGCACATCTTGCACAAACACTGTTATGGAAAGAAAAGGCTAAATATGTCAAGGCATGCCAATTATCAACTTTGAAGTTTCTTCAACCATCTCGGGCATTTTCCTACCATTATGAGCAGCTGTGCCTTTAACAAGCTGCTGCTGAAGAGACAAAAATCCAAACACGAAAACTCCTAAATTACTGCAGAACAGAGAGCCAAAACCGAATTTTCTTGGTGCCTCTTAGAAATCCCCAATTTTAAATAATGTGGTAATGATGCAACCAGATAGTCAAGTGCTTGACAAACAGCAAGCAACGTGCAGGGCCTTTCATGCTGCAGGTGCCTAACTCAAGTGCCCGTGCTCTTTCTGCAGGAAAAGGAGAAAAGCCAGCATTTCTTGTACCAGCTGAGGAGCCCAAAGGCATCTCTGGAGCTCATTTCTCCCTCATTGATACTGCAGGAGCCTTTGGCCCTCCTGCGGGCAGTACAGACACTCCTTGTAGTGGAGAAACACAGAACTAATAAAGACAAAACACACAGGCCAACATTCAGACTCGAGGATCCAGCTGTCCACTGCTTCTTGCATACGGTGGCAACTCGTTTACATGTAATATGCACACCAGCACATACAAGCAAACTGTAAAACCATCCAAGTCAAATTGTTTGAGCTATCTGTTCCGTTCTGCTGCAGTTGTGTTTTACAGGAGCATCCCAAAGCTGTGCAGACCTAGTCACTACTCCGTTTTATTCACCAGTGGCCCTGCAACACCGTTAGGACTGGCTCTGTACTCTGCCCACCTATCTTCTGGTTTCCAAGAAGCAATGTTTATATTTCTACTTCAGGCTTTGCAGTGCAGAAAGTTTTTACATTAATTTTAAGGAAGTAAAGGGCAAACATTTTGGAAATTGTCTGCACTTACTGCTATTTACTAAGTGCTTACTGGGGGAAAAGGAAAAAAAAAAAAACCCAAAGAAAAACACCAACCACCTTTACCTAACAGCACCTTCACATTCTCATGTTTCAGAAGGAAGAGAAATGGTTACCCGAGTCCTCAAGCAAAAAGAACAGAATAAGGTACCAGACAGTTTTGGTAAGAGTAGGCACCTTCGTCAGCCTGGCTTCTCACTTTTGCCCTGAAAAACATTCATTCCAGCTCTGGATCCTTAAAGCTCCACTTGTTCGTTTTCCTTTTCAGGAACAACTACCCTGAATAGCATTGCGTTCCTGTAAGAGTAGGAGCCACCCCCCACCTTTCCTACAGCAAAGCTGCGTTTCAAATCTATGAAAGTTGTCAAAGAGAAAGAGAAAAAAAAACATTAAATGGATCAAGAAAGTCTCTCACCGTGAACATTTTCATAGTAAATCTGTTCACTTGCCTGAAATTAAATCAGAAGATTATTAGCAATAAATGAACAATAATACTTTGTGGAGAACTACACATGCACCAGAAAGAAATGGAAGATGGCAGTGAGGATGTCATGTTTGTTGTCTACATATAACCTCCTCTGCTTTCAGAGATACCTGCTTCATAGGACAGTTTTTTTGCCTATGGTTCTGATTGCATTACTTCAAGGTCTTACCTAAAGCATAACTCAGTTAAAGCAACCCTAAGGCCACTGGCCAACAATAATGTAGTTTGCCACTGTTCCGCTATCTGAAAATCACATTCACCTTCCTCCTTGAGAAACATCCTAAGTCCATTGATAAATATTCCCCACCACCCCTAGATCAACTACTCCAATTGCAAATAAACCCGCTGCAGTGGTGTATTCGCACACTTCTGTCTCCGCTTGATCTATGCGCAAGCATATTCTGCAGGGGAGGAGGACAAACCCTTCAGTGTGCATCAATTCAGAATTAAAAAGTAGGTCACCCTGATTATATTTGTCTTACGAATTTAATTTCTCTTCTGAATTTAAATGTGAAGTTTGAAGTTCTCCTGCAAAGTTTCTGAAGTCACTAAACTCCAGAAATTGGTTTTGAGCTCCTAGTAAAGAGCCAGCATCTCTGTCAGGTCACCTAAATTTTTGTGGTGTGTCTTCACATGCATTTTCAATAGGCAGACAGTTCCACAACCCTCCCAAATGCACACGTGGTGCAGAACTGGGAGAGGGTTCAGGAGTTACAGTTTAGAGAAACTCCTGAGCTTGTAAAATATACAGAAGGAGAAGACCAGAGTAGGCAGTAACTGCTGCGCAGCATAGTTTGCCCACCAAGGAGAACAGGTTAGAGCCCTGGCCTCAGCCCCCACCCAACTAACAAGCCTGCTATAGAACTTGTGCAGGACTCCAGACAGCTCTCCACTATGAATCTGGTTCCATGTGGGATTGCAATGCCACAGCCCTCTGCCTTGTCCTAAACTGAACAGGCAGCTCCCTCCATAAAAGATGAAGGCAAAAGAAAGACAAGTAGTAGGGTATGTACCAGCTCCAGCACTGAACGTGTACACCTAAGTGCACCTATTGGGAAATGGCCCCACTTACCTACCAGAGTACTAGTAACCAGATTCCTTTGGCTACCGTTTCCTGAGGAGCCCCAGACACAGTTTAGAGGCACTATAGAATGCATCTAGTTACCCTCTCAAATCCTTCATGCATGTATGTGTCGCCTCCCGGAAGGACTTTCTGCAGCTCTTCTAGGCCCTGGCGGATCTGCTCCCTGAAATGAATGCAGATGCACTGTTAGATCCAAGAGCAAATTCACCAGGAACTGATATCTGGGTGAAGACATGCACAGCAGAACCAGATACGGGGTGGGGGGAGTTAACCCAGTGTTTACATGGGCTAAGGTAATGCCTGGGTAGATACCTTTCTAAGGATGTGGAGAACAGCAGATGTGCTCCCAGAGTTCCCACAGCAGCAGCATCTCCTAGGTCAATATCCACATGTTTCTTTCGAAATAAATATTCCCTGTGTAACCCTGGTTAAACCTCTGATGCAGCAGCAGAGCAGCTGACCTGCACCTGGCT